TCGCACGATCGAGTGGCTAAAGCCAAAACAAAGCGATTCCGATATTCAACCAGTTATATCATAATAATCCTCTGCCTTCGAAGTCCATCATAATAAGTCCATTAAATGCAATTATACTACAGCAAAAGGYAAGTCTGGGAGATGCTTCATGCATTCTTAAAAAATGTAAGTTAAATGTACTATATTTTAAAGAGGTTTAAAAARAAAGGCTTTCATGAAATGTCGTTTCACTTTGTATCAACAACTATTACTTTTGTACATGTTTGCAGACTATAACCAAGAAAACGATGATATCGGTGATGAAAAAGATGATGATCAAGAAACAGAAAATGAAAGTTTAAACCTGTTGGATAAAGCCCTTTGCCTTTGCTTATTTAGAAAATGTCTGTGTACTCAATAAATAACAACAATTTTGTTAGAAGAGTTACTAAATAATCCTGCACTTGTTCTTGCAGTTTTCTGCTTCAGTTGAGCAGGGGCTAGAGACAAACATTTTGTCTCGGAATCTTCAAAATGAAATGGTGCGGGATATCTGGCTAAATATCCTGAGATTTGAAAGCCACCCTAACAAGAAGCATAGGGAACACATAGCCAAGATGGTTATAGCAAAATATCCCTTTTTAGAAGACGTTAATGATTTTGGTGCAGCAAAATGGGTTTGTATTATTGAAATGTGATATGAATAATGACCGCAGACAATGACTGTGACCTTTCAAGTTYACATTACAAATTTGTTCATTCATACTGTAATTGAATAATTAAGTTTTTTTCCTACATGTCTARAAATCTTGGCAATGATCRAATTAAAGGTGGACTTGGACTGAATTTTGACAAAGTTGAACAGCATTTTTTTTTAATTTTGTCTGATTCTATGTTATCTAAACTCTAAGTGTACCAAAAATTGTCCTTTTTAGCAAAGCGTTATCGAGTTATATTATTTTTAAAGAGCGTAATTTCTCACTTGAGCCGGATGACTCGAATAAAATTTTTAGTACAGCGGTATTCTGGCGTGACGTCATCTTACCAAGCTCGCCTGRTAGCCTTGTTTAGTTTACATTAGTTCTACACGTTCTCCACSCTACAATTGTAGTTAGGAAATCTTTCAAAATGTCCCCTAGCGTAAGTGAATTGTCTTCAAGCTTCCGACTCGTCGTACCTATCGACATGCGAACTGCCTCAAGAAAATGGAGATCAAAAAGTAGCAAACGTGTACGACGATAGTTTGGAGCCCATTGCCAACGAAGAAGAAGTATCGGAGTACTTCGAACAAGTAGCCTTARAGGAGGACGAAAAAGAAGAATTCAGGAAGAGATTCTCAAATGAAGTTAATGTTCATAGCTGGTAAGTCGTTTTGCACAAAGAGCATTGCGATAAAATATTCTGATGTAGGAAAACAGTCATTTAAGAGCGACGCTTTCAAGATATGACTCCAAAGATCGAACATAAAAATAACAACTATGAGAATTGTTTATCGATTGATCAAGAAACAAGTTGTTACGTTTGTTTAGCTTTAAACAGCGAATATATATAGTCATGTCTTCGTATTATTTCATGCAATCCGAATACTAACGGAGTAATAATTTGTCTTCAGGTGTTCTTGCTCAAATTGCTCTCTCAGCCTGGTCTTCAAACCAGAGGAACGCATTTGTTGCCACGAGATGCAGAGATGCATCGATAAAATTGAAGAAGCTGAGCTTGACGATCAAGCATGCATTAGGGACCATCCAGGATTTAGAAATGTCTGTCTGGACAAATATGTGTTGGAAGTTGCTGCTATCGGCCTCAAGACAAAAAAAAGAGTTATGTTACACTGTATAAAAATGGGAACAAGTCTGAGTCACAGCAGGAGCCAATTACTAGGAGCCTTCCTCTTCCCATTGGCTTGTGGAACGGCATTTACCCCTCTTGGTGCTATGTTTAGATTTTCCAGCCATTCCCCGCGCACTTATTGAGATGTGAGTTGTGATCAAACAGCCGCCGGCCAACGCTATCAGGTGTTTTTAGATTGAATTTAAAGTTGTACAAGTGAAGAAATTTTCGCTTTTACAAAAACTATTTAGTAGCAAAGCTTCAATGGCACCATTAACTATTATATTTAAATGTCTACAGATAGTGAAAAGGTATAAAAAATAAGCGAAAAAGCTCATACAAGAAAAAATCGACATTTCTGGTTTCCTTTACYGACGAATCTGATCAAAAAGCATGACAGTGAACACAAAATAATCTATTCTTATAATGAGTTCTTCATCTAAAAAATGTGACATCACAACTGTGAAAATTAGCATTTAATAAATTTGATTGTGACAGTTTTGTACAATATTTTGCATTTAAACAAAAACGTCGACCCTCACCCGCTATAATGACTGTAATGTGAGATTTGACAACAAAACCAAATTCAACTATGAAATAAGAAAACGGTTTGGTGGCGGTACTTTTAATCTGGTTGCACATACTACCACATCCGACCTGATTGAATTCTATAGCTTTCTTAAAGAAARWTACAAAAGTGGACCTTCCAGGTTCTTTAAAGAATGCAAGAGTCATTGGCATCCAAATTTCCCAAACTACTGGGTTCTCAATAAAGATGTAAGTTAATATACACAAACAGATGTTATAAAACCGCACAATGATGTTCACATGGAACTCTTTGTCACAGTTATTGCCAAAGTTTACACAATTTTCCTTTTCAAAATAACAATTATAGTTGATTTAGCACTATGAATTATTGTTGTTATTTTAAAAAGGGATGGGAGGTGGACTGGAGTGTGAAAATGTAGGGACATGACTAGACTAATTATTTTATTTCATATACAGCTTCATATTCAAGATGGGAAAATTGTGGAGAAAGCAGGATGCCTGTATTTTTATTGAGGACTTTCTTAGTAGTATTTGAACAGAAATCAACACTGACCTATTGAAAGACTGGAAAACGTCTGCCAGCAAGCTAGGGGACCGAACTGAGGAGCCAGCTAGGTTCTCAGTCGGCTTCAAAATWAATTCTCAAGGTGCTAACTAAACATGTTGCTTTCTATTTGTGGTCTAGGAACCAAGACGAGTTAGACTTGGTTTTCAATCTAAGCAAAGGCGATGTGCTACCAAATACAAAGAAGTTTTAGTAGAGGACGAGTTTGTATACATTCCGTTGCTACAAACCTCGGAAGGTCTTTTGAATAAAAATTCAATTATGTCACAGGTGAGGCTTAACTGCACTGTACAATTTTAAGGTTTTTCATTAAATACTTTTTATTAAAGTCTGTAACGGGTACTTTTAAAAGTTTCCATCGAGGTTATTGTTTCATTCAGCTCATTTTAGCAGCGAGGGATAAAATGTATATGTACGTGGAAAAGGGCCAAAAACATATTTATGACCAAGAACATCAACTCTATCACTGTTATAATAATTTTATAGGGCATTTACAAAATGCATTAAGTCTATTTTCATTCAAATGAGCAAGCAAAMTATCAAAGCTAATTTGAGTAATTTGAGCGAGCTAAAATGTAGCTTTTTTGTTCATTTTAGCCCTCAAAATGCACAACAATGGTCTATAAAGTCATTATAATATATTATATTTTCAGGTGACGAATGGCAATTTTTCAACTGATGGAAAAAATAAGAGACTTCTGTGGCGGTAAATCGTACAAGAGTACCCCTTGTTCTCTGAAGACTCAACTGTCCTTCAACTTTTGTTGTATTATGATCAAGTTGAAATTGCCAATCCTTTTGGATCAAAAAACGGAAAACATAAATTAGGTGAGCTTTCGGCAAGCATTTTTGATTTTAAGTTACATCGTGTGAAATATCTAAGTTCTATATTCGTTTATTCTCTCGACAGGTCTTATCTATTTTACTCTTGGAAACATTGTACCTGAAAATCGCTCACAACTGAATGGTATCCAACTTGTTTCTGCTGCTACATCGCCAATGATTAAGAAGTATGGCATTGAGTGTCGTCAATGTGTGGGCAATGCTGATGAAGTTTTAACCAAGGTTGGCATACACGTTATATTTAGATTAGCTTTGATTTATTCATATTATTTTCAGTTCAAATTAATACAATATAGTTTGAGGAAATTATTTAGAATGAGCATAAATTATTATGCGGTTCTGCATCCTATAAAAATCCTACATCCTATTAAAAATTGTATTCATTTTGAATTGTTCAAATGACAGGGTGACTCAGTTAAAAATAAGCAGATAAATGTATGTGTATGTTTGGAATCTTACAGCTGCACAGATAGTGTGTCTCGGGAAAAATATCCCTTTAATCATTGGGAATTTGATTTCAGAGGATGATGAACGGTGGCAACTRTAGGCCATTCTGCTTATTGCTAGACATTGTTGTATTTTCCCCTGTAACATCTATAGATGCAATTGGTGTTTTGGAGGGACTTATACAAGAACACCATTCAAAATTTCTATATGTCTACCCAGGATCATCAGTAATTCCTAAAATGCACTACCTACAGCTCTCGACAAAATGTTTGTGAACATCCCCACTCCCCTGTTACAAAGTTGAGATTCTCAAAAAGAAGCCCTGGCTGACACGATGAGAACCAACTTTGAAACAGGGGTGGGGGGGTAATATGGCAGCTAGATGTTCGAATATTTTTGTCAAGAGCTGTCTGAGTCCCCGGGAGAAATGTTGATCATGCGCAGATAATACAATTAGGCACTTAGAAAAAATCGTGTTAATCGTTGACAGTAGTAAGGGTTAATAGAGTGGCCGACATGAAATCGGGCTTTATGATGGCCGGACGACATCTATTGTTCTAAGTACTCTGAGCCAATCAGAAAGCCCCCTGGGCGGCACGTGACCCTCGGAGAGCGCGCAGGGAGGAGTGGGCTCTAGTAAGTAACACAGGGGGCCTGAAGGGCCCCCGAGTAGCATAAGGGGAGGGGTGGGTTAGAAGAGAGCGACATCCGGTGAGGGGGCGTTGAAACATCCGGTTGGGGGAGGGGTGGTCAGAAAAAATATCTTTATAAGAGAGAGCGAAAAGAAATCAACAAGATAGAATTAACGATGAGTTGTTCTAGACAAATAGAGCCTACATGGCGTGATCCAAAATTACGTGGTCCTCTTTATCCCTTTTACCAGAAACCACATATGGAAGGAGAAGAGTGTGACTTGATGGAGTGAGTAATATATTTTTTAAAAAATAATAATTTTATAGCAAGACTTAACATTAAATATATTTTTTATAGGAAACTTGACGAGGATGCTACCGATTTAATAGATAGCATCCGCTATAAACGCGAAGGGAAAGCATTCAGGACATTGGAATCATTACAGTCTTACACCAAAGTAAATGACCTCTTTGGCATCTTGGTCGACTACCGTATGATGATGGACTACGTCGATAGAGACTATCGAGACGAGGTGCCTATACCCGATACATTGGAGCAAACCAAAACCAAATGGGTAAAAGACACAAAAGAATTGCAAAAGGAGCTCGAGGTGGATAAAAACGGTATCCAACTTTCAGTGTCTAAGTATCAGTTGGATATACAGAAAGGAGATACAGTGGAAAATAACAAGAAGGCCTTGTTAGAAAGAAAAAAAGTAGAAGAAGAAGAGTTTTACATTCACAAAAACGACATCATAGAAGGCTTGAAAGCAGTGGTGAAACCGTTGGACGAACAAAGGGTATTGATGAAAGAATTTATTTCAGATTCTTTCAAGGAAGCATATGGGCCTGTGATCGATTTGGTCCATTCTACCCTTTACCATCGTTTAGTGGTTTGGCTTGAAGATTTGTATGTCCCACCCTATGAAATAGATGATAAGTAGGAAAAAACATGTAAGAAAACATTTTTAGATAAATAAACAGGAAGTTTTTTAAAAAATCTTGTGTCGAGTTAATTATTCTAGTTTCGTTTCATCTTGTTTTTTCTCTTTTGGGGGAATTCCCTACATATGATCAGAAATTTGCATACGAAAGTCATATTTCGAGTTATATTTCACATTCTATCGTCTCTGATAAATAAAGCAGTTTTTCAAAAAATATTTTACATTGTTTTTTAAAAAACAATTTTTTGATGATGGAAAAATCTGAAGCCTCTTGTAGCGATACTACAACTACTCTTTTGGGAGCACACGCAAAAGTGGTTTCTCGAGGCCCCGTCACCATTACAACTGAAACTACTACCACTACTAAAAAACATTTCATCCTAGAACCAACATCGCGTGTGAGGAGAATTTTTTCCAACCATTTTAAGTATGGCCCTATTTTGCGATGTGCAAACAGCGTTAAAGACAAGATTGAAAGAAAACAAATCAAAGAGCTAGAGTAAGTATTAAAAAACAAACTATATTTTTTTAAAAATAAAATCTTTAAATATTTTTTCCCCTTTATAGTTATTTGGGAGAAGCAATCAAAAACTTCAACACTCAGGTTAAACGCACTGAGTTATGGCTGAATGTTGAGCATAAGATGATCCTGGCAGATTTAAGAGAAATGCTGGCCGACGCCGATCAAGATTTTCTTCAACGCCAGCAATCTCCGATCAAAACGGTCAAGCGCATCGAATATCATCGCAAGGGAAAGACATGCATCGATGGTAGTACGCCTCTTAATGCCAAAGCGGTTCTACCGTGTTTCTTCTACTCAGAAGTAGAAGCCGACATCCACAATGCTGCATACTATAAAGAAATGCTCATGCTCGGGCACCGTAGGCAAAATGATCTGCGTTGCGGCCACCATCCACGAATTCAAGTCTTTGAAATTCAAAGCCTGCGTCAACGGAGTCTCAAAACTCCACGGTTTGTTTTTGGTAGTACCGCCAGGCACCTGCACGTTGCTCGGCAGCGTCACGTAAAATTCGGTATCGTCGGGCAAATATCCCACACTCATGTTTCTTGCACGTTACTTTCGGGAATCCAGCTGTTGTACTTATCGGGCCAGCCTCGCCACTTGACCAAAACTTCTGCCGGGCGAGTTCGAGTAGCACGACGACGTCGAATCACTTCTTCGACGCGAAAGGTGTCCGTCTCGTCAACCGTCACGGGTTGCAATTCGGCTTCGTAAAACGACCCACTCAGCGGCGTTCCGTCCCACTCTTTAATTTTGTACAGAGGCGGCCAACCAGGAACGCGACGTTGGACTACAAAGATTTCTTCCGTCCAACCGGGCGTGTAGCCCTTTTTAAAGGCTTCGGCCTTCTTGCTTAACCGAACCTGGTCGCCAGGTTTAAAGCGATAACGACGTCGACGTTTCTTAGGCTTTTCGGGTTCGGCGTACAAGTGTCTCCAGACGTCTTGCGCATTGGCGTGCGTCACCGAATCGGGGCTGCGCTGGATAGAACGATGAAAACCCGCATTGTATCCTTTCACCAAATCCTGCAAAATGTCCATGTACCGGTGCGTGTTGTGAGCCGTAAAATATCGCCACATGCGATTCTTGAACGTGCGAATGAAGCGTTCCACGATCTGCGCTTTGGTGTCGCCATAGACCACAAAGTGGCGGATGCCGCGCTCCTTCAAAACACCGCGCAGCGTACTGTTGAGAAATTCGGTTCCTTCGTCCGTTTGCAAAGCGTCCGGCTGGCGATCGCTCTCTTCGAAAATGTCCTCAAACGCACGCGCTACTGTCGCAGCGTTCTTCTTCTTGATGGGGCGGACAAAGGCGTAGCGCGACAGCACGTCGAGCGCAATCAACAGATACTCGTTACCGTCGTTGGCTTGGCTCAGTTTGCGCACGTCGGCCAAATCGGCCTGCCATTGTTCGTCCAGCCCGTCGACCCGCACGCGACGACGCCCAAAACGACGACGGACGGGTCGGTGCAACGTGTAGCCAGGCTGTCGGCGCAACCATTGATCCACTTGCTGGGGTTTGACTCCAGAACGGCGCGCCTGACGTCGCACTTGATCTGCGCCGGCATAACCGGCTGGCGCTTGAGGGTCGTAAAATGTTTCTTGCAAGATGTCAGACGGCGACTTCTTTTTCTTCTTCTTTGCCCGCGTCCAATTCGTCTTCTTCTTTCTTGGAGCCATCGACCATCACCACCGAACCACCGCAACACGCAATCAAACAACGCAGTCGTTTGCACAAATCAGAAATGCCACCGTCCCCGCCAGGCCATGAGGGCATGATTTGTTTTTTCTTGATCTGTCAAAAGGGGGTACTGGGGTTTTTATATCCACCCATAGACGACGCGTAGGCGGGATAAAATGATACTGAATTTTATTGAAGTTTTACATCTTTTACAGAATAATAATAATAAAAAAGTTTTTTACAAAAATGTAGTAGGCAAATAGCCGTAAGGCACCGTGTGTCGCACGCCACGTCGCAACCGCTTGTCGTAGACCACTTGGAAGAGCTTCTCGACGTCCACGGTGCGCAGCACTCGTCGTTCGGGGTCGCGCCGAATCTGTCGCGGCAACGACACGTTGATCTGAACTTGCTCGCCGACGCTTTGGTGGACCAGCATGACCATGTTGTCAAAGTTGACTTTCTCTGAAGAGGTGATGTTGAGCGGGATGCCCTTGCACTTGACTTCGTTCTTGCCTTGCTTCGTGCGATAAGCGTAGCTCTTGGGCCCAGTCGACACAAAACACTCGATGGAGTCTTGAGCGTCGAGTTCCGACGTCAAATCGCCCAAATAATCTCCCAATTCCAGCGGCTTCTCGCCGGGCCGCGTCAGATAGATGATGGAATCTGTGTCGAAATAGAGCACGCGGGGCAAACAACTCTCGTCCGTTATCATCTGAATCCTTCGAGTCGGTCTTTAAGCTCTCTGAATTTCCCAGAGTACTTTGCATCATCTCTTTCATGGGTAATCCCGAAGCGTGATTATCTCGGTTACGAAAGTAAACACTAAAGTTGTTTATCATGCTTGACCAATTTTGAACAAAAAGCGAAATATCCGTACCCAAATAGGCAAGATCTTGCAAAGCGCAAGAACGATAACAATAGCTGTCGTAGTCTCGCAACTTCTTGGCCTCTTTTAATCCATCTTCTATTCTTGAAATGAAATAATTTAGCATCTCGCACGCGCAAGCTTCATTTGTCGCCATCCTCGTCTAGATCAAAGTGATATGGATATACGTCAAGCAGTTAAACTTATCGAGTCTGAAGGAAGAACGGAATGGAAAGAAATAATTGAAGAACTTCCGGGAGTGCTTCGCGCTTCGCGTTACCTAGCTCATATTCAGCATGACGCCAAAGAGCCTGCCTGTTTTTATCCCGAACGCATGTACGTCGTGAATGCTTTAATATTAGGCAAACCGGTAAAGGGACACGAATTTTCTAAACTACGCCGCTACACGACTTGGGAAGGAAAACTAAAAGAATATCCAGCCCCGTATCTGATAAACGGTAAAATCGACTTTATGTTGGAAACGTTTTGGGGGGAATATCGACTCTACGATCCCGTCAATGCCATGGCCAAGTTCCTGTGTCACTTTATGGAAATCCACCCGTTCGGAGACGGGAACGGGAGGACTGCCAAACTCTTTCTCTGGTTAGCCCTGCGTATGCTGTTGCCCGACATAAAGCTGACTCATTACCCCAAATACGAAAACTGGTGCACTTGGTTGATGAATTGGAGAGGTCCCTGGGGTTCCTTCCACAGAATCTACAAATGGATAGGACGATTAGCTCCCAAAGCCTTTCTCCCGTGGGCAAGAATGCCTAAAAACATTGATCCTTCTTGGATAAGGCAACCTTATCACCCCAACCCTCGCTGGTTAGAAGTCGATCGCGAAGCCGAGACCGAGAGCTCTACCACCGAGAGCTCTACCCCCGACAGTGACAGCGACTTTGACTTCGATTGACGAGAACACTCTCCTTGTGACTCCTTTGAAATCGCAGATGCCGAAGACTGGTTCCTCAATCATTATGGCCTGTCTTCGAAAGATTGTAGCCGATGCAAGGAGATGGGAGAAATAATGGGTGCAGATTTAGAACGCCTCGAGCTGCACAACTGCGATGATCAATGCTGTCATTCTGTAGATGATGGGGAAGGAATCTCTGCATAGCTCAGTTGGAAGAGCGCGGGACTGTAGTGTCTGCGGTCATCCTGCGGTCGTGGGTTCAAATCCCACTGTAGAGACTTTTATTTTTTTATCTGTTTATTGTAAAAAGAATAAAATGAGAATTAAAATTGTGGGATTAAAAAAAAAATGAAAAGTGGGAAAATAAGAATTAAAAAATAAGAATTAAAAATAAGAATTTTAAAAATGAAATATTTTTTCTGACCACCCCTCCCCCAACCGGATGTTTCAACGCCCCCTCACCGGATGTCGCTCTCTTCTAACCCACCCCTCCCCTTATGCTACTCGGGGGCCCTTC